TGACTACAGCCCAGCAGCACTTGATGACTGAATTCGGTGTTTTTTTTCAACCTGACTAACTATGTAACTTAAATCAGGCTGGGCAAACTACTTCTTAGGGCAGGGTCCCTACACTATGTATGTCTTAGGGCCTGTTCACATGAGTTTCAGGTCCTGATCAGGTGCGGATCTGCAGACGCGGTGCTATGTGTTTTGCAGCGTTTTTGATGCGTTCCAGTTTTTTTTTTTGCTGGAGTGGGGCTGTCAGTATGTTAGCTGCAGTGCAGTGCGTTTTTTATGCGTTTTGCGTTTCCTGACCGTACAAAATGTGACATGCAGTATTTTTATGTCGTAACCTGAACGGACTGCGCACGTGAGAACTGAAGCCCATAAAACACATAGGGATACATTGGGATGCATTTTTAGTGCAGGAGCGTACGGATCAGGTCAGCACAGAAAACGGATGTCGTGTGAACAGGCCTTTGATGTTGCAAATTGACATACATTTGAGAAATTCCTGTTCAATAATTTTACAAATTAATAGAAGTCATAAAAGGAAAAAAAACCTTCAGTGCTCAACTAAACAAACTGTATTTTTGGTGTTGTTTGTATTCTAATTGAAAAGGTTTTCCATCAATTCCCATCTGGAACACATCCGGAAGATAAAAGTATTGATGTGTTAGACTCATCCACCTAACCAAACGCTCCGTGTCTGCAACCCCCCTCTGTCAATCCCTACACTGGCTTCCACACACCCAAAGGATAACATTTAAAATATTAACAAACACTTACAAAGCCATCAACAACTCTGCCCCCGGATATATCTCAAACCTGGTCTCAAAGTATCACCCTAACCGTCCCCTCTGCTCTTCCAAAGACCTTCTGCTTTGCAGCTCCCTCATCAACTCCTCCCATGCTCGCCTCCAGGACTTCACTAGAGTCTCTGCCATCCTATGGAACTCTCTACCCCAACCTGTCCGTCTATCTCCCACTCTGACTGCTTTTAGGCGATCCCTTTAGACTAATCTCTTCAGGGAAGCGTATCCCACCTCAACCTAACCCAGTGGTGGCGAACCTTGGCACTCCAGCTGTGCCAAAACTACAAATCCCAAGATGCATCTGCCTCTGGGAGTTATGTATGTGGCTGTCAGAGCCTTGCAATGCCTCATGGGACTTGTAGTTCCAAAACACCTGGAGTGCCAAGGTTCGCCATCACTGACCTAACCACTCAACCATCACCTTTGCAAACAATTCATCCCCACACAGCTACCTCCTCATGTATCACTTGCCCCTCCCTTTTAGATTGTAGGCCCTCCTTACCATCTTGTCTTGCATTGTATTGTATTGTGATTGTAATGTCTTCCTTATATTGTAAAGCGCTGCACAAACTGTTGCCGCTATATCAATCCTGTATAATAATAATACCCGCACCCCGTGGTCAACAATTACCAGTGCGCCCAAAACTACTGGTTTATAGAAGAGATACAACCTAAAATTAGAACCATTTACCTCACCTGCATACAGTTATTTCTAGATTCTGATCTATTGTCAGAGCAAGATAAGAAACTATGGCTTTGGGAGCAGCATCCTATGACAGCTGGTGAAGTGGTACAACAGCTTCTGTCCTATATATAGGAAACACATAAAGTAAAACTGATCAAGAGGTCAAGGTATGCCTCGACTGGCATGAGCTACCTTCATCAGCCAAAGGGGCATGGGAGGTGCGGGAAATGAAAGGGTTAGTTACTTAAAGTGATATTAAAGTCAAAATGGTTTAAGCTATTTCAGATGCTGATGAAATCATTTACAATGCTGCTCCTTGATGTTTAAACGTTTTACAGGGTTATTCACAAAAGGGTGAAGAGTTTGAAGAAGTGAACAATCTAGGACCACATAGCTGATTTGGAAACATTATGCAATTCAGCTCACTTTCCAGTTCAGCTCTGTTCCCCTAGATTGTTCACTTCTCCTGCCTTCTCCAAACTCTTCACCCTCTTGTGAATAGACCTGATCGTTTTAGAGAGTGCAGAGAAGGGTGGATCACGGTGGAAGTGAGACGATTAAGAGGGGACATGATTTTGATGGTGATGGCAACATCAGCAATTAACTTTTTACAGTAAACTCCGTAACAAAGACTAGAGGCCACCACCTAAAACTGGTGGAGAAAAGATTTAACCACAAAGGGCGTTGAGGCTTCTTTTCAGTTAGAGCGGTTCGATTTTGTAACTCTCTTCCACAATCAGTGGTATCAGCAGAGAGTATTGAATCATGCAAAAAGCATTTAGATCCCTTCCTCAGAGACCATAACATACAGGGGTACAGGTACTCTTAAATACTAAACCACACAGGGACTCATATGCACAAACACACACAGGTTGAACTTGATGGACCTGTGTCTTTTTTTCAACCTCAAATACTATGTAACTAGTTTTCTGCAGAATCAGCTGGTCCCCTGAGCACTGGTCCCGATATCCTATTTTAGGGTGGCTCCTTTGCCTTGCAGGGTCCTATGGAGCCACTCTTGTGTGTGCTTGTAAGCTTTGTCTGTCTCCACAAACACACAGGAATAGCAAGGCAAAATACCCCCCTCCTCCTTCCTCCAGGCTAGTTGATGGGCAGCTGATGGAAACATTGCTGTGCCTTGTGATGTTGTACTAGACAGGATTATTTAGGGAAGCCAAGCTGTGCAAAATATTCCCTTCTTGATGCAGGACAAGATTCTACTAGCTTTGCTTACAGCAACCTGGCACTGTAATTTATTATTCAGTTTGTGGTCTACAATGACCCCCAAATCTTTCTCCATTTCCGACTTCCCTAGCGGCATACCCATAATTGTATAACCCATTTGCTTATTATTCCTCCCAAAGTGCATAACTTTGCATTTATCGACATTAAACCTCCTCTGCCACATAGTTGCCCACTCCCCTATTTTATCCAGGTCCAGCTATTTGGTTTGAGCCAGCTATTTGGAAACATGATGACTGTAAGTGCTTAACCAAAAATGTATAGAACTACCTTGCTAGGGAATCTATATCAGTTTGGTCTGGATTCATTACTGAAAAAAGTTTGAGTTTATTCACTATGTTCTGTAATGCAGCTTAATACAATGTACGATAGTGTGTTACCATGTGTTGTGGTGTGCTGCAACGCATGACCAAGGGCAAGATTAGTTTTAGTGTTGTTTAGAATGAATGGCACTGCATATCACCAACATGCGTATTGCATGTTACTGTCATTGTGGTTACACTGCAGCATGATGGTCATACCTGGGAAATCCCCAAATCTTGTCCTAGGACTCCGACTTTTGACTGCCATCTTTGGAGGCCAGTAGGAGTTTTCTGCCATTATGCTGCCATAGGCTTAATAGGAGAAACTACAGCAATGTGAATACATCTGTCAGCTAGTAGCAAGCTGATGCTGGGGAGGAACATCCCTATTCAATCAAGACTTGGGACCCATTCACACCATCACCATACCTGGACGCTGTATGTTTCCTGTTGCTGCCAACTTATCCTCAGCTGCAAGTGGATCCTCTGTGCTTCCCAGCAAGCTGTTGCTGAGCTCACAGCAGATCCAGTCTCTGCCCTCCCCAGAAGCACTTACGTTTCCAGGTACCCATTAACACAGAGAGTGTACCACCTCTGATCCAGGCCTCTCATCCACTTGTCTGTCTCTCTCATGTTGCTCCATGGCTGTCTGCCTTCTACTTTTGACAATCGGCACCCAATTGATTATGTGCTCGGTGGGATAATAACAGTATAGAGTGGCCTCTTGATGTCAAGCACAAGGACCCTTAGGAATGGGGGAAGCTGGTAGTCACAAGCAACTGTGGAGAGTTTTTCAGCTGCTGCAGCACCTCTTGCATATATAAGCCTACTGCTGAGTAATACCCAAGGTAATAACAATTTGCCTGCCACTATTAGAAGAGTGCTTTGTAATGGATTATATATTAAAAGTAGCCTGGCTGAGTACACACAGACGCCTTGTGGCACTGTTAGTCCCAGACTCACTGGCGGTGCACTACGTGAATCACTATTTAGCCCCCATTCGCCCTAGTGTAGTGTGTGAATGCACGCAAAATCCCACAATTTTGCACATGTTCATAAAACGTGTGAAAAACCTGTGGCTCGCTCGAGGTGCCATACATTGTTAATGGCACCCCAAACACACCTTGCCAGACACGCGTTTTTCATATGCAAAAACATAAGTAGTTATAAAACGCGCAAAAATCAAAGTTCCAAAAGGTGCATGAGCTTCTTTGCCACACATGGGACAGCCCATCGAAATTAAATGGACTACCCTATTCGTTAAATGTGCGCTGTGCATGCAGTGTGTTAATGGCACCCCATGTGCACCAAGCAAAGTGCATTTGCATGCAAAAAAACATGCAATTATAAAACATGCAAAGCTCAAAATGGTGCATGATCTTCTTTGCCTTCTTCTTACCCACTGCAATGAAAGGCCTGCCCTATGCGCAACATGCCTGCTTCATAAGTGTGAATGGGGGCTAAACTGATACCTCCATTTTAGATCCGTGCACTGCTGGCCCCTCACTAATCTCAAATTCACCAACATTGAAACATTCCCAGGTATAGTGATGGTGTGCATGGGTCCTGTGCCCTAATATGTTAATACAAGTGATCTATAACAGTATCATGTAATGTGTAAGCAGCTCCTATCACATGTCCTCAGTATCCGATCATGAATCATGTCTTCCCTCACTGTCCACCTAATGTTTTATGAATGTAGTCTCTGACAATCTCCTATTTAATATCTGCAGTCTCTGGCAGCATTTTCGAGCATTGCATTCATTACCTATAATATTGTGGCCCTTTGGTGATGTCAGGGGCAGCACTTGGCCCTCTGTTTCAACAAAATACCAGCACAGCTTCAGAGTCTAAAACCGTCAGAATGCATAGAACCACTTGTATGAATAAAGTTATTGTACAAAAAAAGAGCAGTTTCCTATCCCAGCTTGTACGGTAGCGCCGACGTCCTGCTGACGTAACTTTAGCTGTACGTTGTAGATTCTACGTAAGGACGCTCCTCTTACGGCTGTGCACGCCGGTTCTTTACGCACGCGGGATCACGAGCAGAGTCCCTTCTGGTCTGTTCTGAGTATTAGGTGAAGCGAGTCACAGGACAGCAGATCTTTGTCAGCTCACGCCTCCGCCCGGGATCCTGATTTAGCCGCTTTGACTCATCCACACGGCCGGTAGTTTTCACCATGCCGAAGAATAAAGGTGAGGCCCAGGGAGACCGATCGGCGGCTCCTGTATAGCAGATGGAAAATAAAGGCCGCCTGGGCCTTTTTCTGTAATGTCATAGGGATAGAGGGTGGATGGTGTGTCGTCTGTAATACTGGAGGGGGAGCACAGGCAGGCAGTCTGTTTTAATCAGCACCGCATACAGACAGTCTCTGGCTCAGTGCGTTTATAGTTTATAAGAGAACCTGTCCTGAGGAAACAATCAAGGGGAAGGTATGGCACCATCAGTGGAGAATCCCTCTCACAAGCTTTAGGGTTCATTCACACCAGCCCACTCACTACAGCCGCTTGCGATGTCTGTTGCATCAACCCTTGCTGTTGCTACACAATGCCAGGCACTGTTTACCTTTTCTTTACCCTCATTGAAATGGCACAAAAATACATAATGCATGCATTTTTATGCTACACACAGCATTCCCACCTCCGCACAGCGTTGTGGTGTGACCAGAGCCCATAGAGAGCAATTGAATTCTGTGGCACCAAGCGTGCGTTATCACTTTGCCGTTTAATTTGGGAAAGCCCCGCTGTCTTTGCGTGTTCCTTTTCACACCGCATATCTAAATGAGAAAAAAATGTCTGAAATTTTAGGTGTTTCTTTGGAGGAGGCCTTTAGGCAGACTGCAAGCTATTCTGAACAAGTTTGAATGCCTCTAGTGGGGCCAGTTCCTGTCACTAACATAAAGGTTCTTGTTGTTTAACCCTTTCGCTGCCACACATGTATCCTACATCCGCAGCAGCGGGCCCCTTACTGCTTCGACTGTCGGCTTTACACTGAAAGTGATTTTGCCGGCTCAGAACCACTCCCAGTGTAAAGGCGAGTGGGGGCGCACTACGCCGGCCAAGTGTGACCGCACCCGACACCCCCTCCTTGCTTCTGGGGCTCCGCTGTCCCTCCTGTGGGCCCGGGATCGGTATGTCAGGTGTTGGCGGGGAAGGAGACCAGCAAACATCCATTCACTGATCATCTCCCCGCTCCTATGGAACGCTGATTGTATCACTTCTGGTCCCTCAGCTGTCAATGCTCGGCTCCAGAAGTCAGGTAATAAGCTATTGGAGCGTGTTCTGCACTCCAATAGCTTATTTGGAGTACTAAGGTAACAGGGGAAAAATTAACCACTAATATCGCCTTAAAGAGAACCTGTCACTGTTAGTATTCTATCACATAGGGGGCTTGTATGTCCCCCATGTGATATCCGTTAAGTTAAAAAAATAAGATTAAATAAAATGTAATATTTATTTTTTATAGTCCCCTGCGAGCACGTACGTATTATCGTTAACATGCGTCGGGTGCACCTACATACGAAAATGACGAGTGCGTTACACATGTTGGGTATCACCGCCACCAATGAAAAGCGCTTCTTGTGAGGAAAATGTAAAATGCATATTGCAGGGAAGCAATCACATGTACGTAGTACCAATATAATACCAGTAGCTGTGGAGGGGAAGGAGTGATCGTGGACACGGGGGGGTGGTTGCAAATTGGTGGTGGTAATAATTCCATTTTCCCAAGTTCCCCTGGGAAAGTGGAATTACCTTTTTTGTTAGGACAGCCAGTGTTCAAATCTAGTTTACGACTGATCATGAGATCTGCCAGCACAGTTCAGACAGAGTTAATTATGATAACATTAACTCTCGCTCTACCTCCCAGCTTGCGTTCTAGAGGAAAATTCCGTTTTGGAATTTTCACCCCAAAAATTGTAAGCAGCAAGTTTGTTTGTTTTATTTATTTTTAAGTTTTGCTAACTTTTTGTAAATGAGAACATGTAACTAAAATAGAATAGGTTGGTCCCAGTTGGTCGGCAAAGTAGTAGTCCTTTTTATTTTTATTTTTTTTTAATTTTTTTTGCTGATAGGCAGGTTTTTTTAAAGGAGAATTATGAGGCGAGTGATATTCACTCAGCCTCATAATCTGAGCCGACCTGTGTCATTGCCACAGGTCTGCTCAGTAGATCGGGAAGTGAGCGAACATACAGTCGCTCGCTTACTTCTCTATCTATCTCTGCAGAGAGCCGTGGCTATCACTCACGGCTCCCTGCAGGGATTCCCCCCTCCCCTGTCTGATCCTCCAGCGCTGACTGGCGGAACGAACAGGGGAGGGGGCGGGCACAGCTGACCCCAACCCTAGAGAGTTGACAGAGCGCTGGAGGGGATTGCTTTTCTAGAAAAGCTGCCGTATTGTGCTGTGCATACTTGCTCATCATGGCAAAAGCTTCTTGGAAGCCCACATTTTTAATTTTTTTAGGGTTTAGTTTACTTCCACGTTAAATGCCTTTTAAATAAATATTATAACACAAAATTTAGTTCTTACATCAGGTCACATAATCCTGGTGTCCATTACAATCTGCTTTAGACCTTCCAACAACTATGTAGTGCAAGGGCCTGTCTGACCGAATGCAAATAATTGTTTATAACAGGGAGGTCATCATATTACATAGTTTTGATGCATCTAAAGTTGATTGTAGAGATATTGAACATTCAGATTATAACGTGTACGCTGACCTTTTAGGAGGAAGGTCTACCACAGAGTCTGTAATCAGGCACTTCTCAACCAGGGCCACTCCATGACCTTAGTGTGCTTCTTCTTTAGCCATTGCTTTGGCGGTATGTTTTGGGTCATTGTCATGCTGAAAGACCCATCCACGACCCATCTTCAGTGTTCTGGCTGAGTAAGAAGGTTCTCGTCCAAGATTTTACAATACATGGCCCCTGTCCATTGGCCCCTCAATGCGGCAGAGTCGGCCTGTACCTTTTATCAGAGAAACAGCCCCAAAGCATAATGTTTCCACCTCCGTGCTTGACTGTAGGGATGGTGTTCTTAGGGTCGTAGTCGGCATTTTTCTTCCTCCAAACACGACGAGTCGAGTTAATGTCAAAGAGCTCAATTTTGGTCTCATCTGACCGCAGCACTTTCTCTGAATCATTTAGATGTTCATTGGCAAACTTCAGAAGGGCCTGTACATGCACCTTCTTACAGGAAGGGGACCTTGCGAGCGCTTTAGGATCTCAATCCATGGTTGTGTATTGTTTGGCGACTGGTCCCAACTGCCTTAAGATCATTCACAAGCTCCTCCTGTGTAGTTCTGGGCTGATCCCTCACTTTTCTCATGATCATCCTTACCCCATGAGGTGAAATCTTGCATGGAGCTCCAGACCGAGGGCGATTTGTTATTTCGTATTCCTTCCATTTGTGAATAATCGCTCCAACAGTTGTTTCCTTCTCACCAAGCTTTTTGTTGATAATCTTGTAGCCCATTCCAGCCTTGTGCAGGTCTACAATCTTGTCCCTAACGTCCTCTGACAGCTCTTTGGTCTTGCCCATGGTGGTGAGGTTTGAATGGAAGAAAGATTCTGTGGACAGGTGTCTTTTTATATACATAACGAGTTGTCGTTGGGAGCGCCTTCTTAAGCGGACAGGAATAATCTGCGTATCCCATAGCCAGTCTGTGGGAGCCAGAATTGTTGTTGGTTGTTTGGGTATAAAATACTTATTTTACTCACTGAACTGCAACTCAATTTATAACATTTGTATCGTGTTCTTATTTTTTTCTTTTCTGGATTTTTTTTTATATTTAAAATATACCTATGAAAAAAATTATAGACCTTTCATTTCTTTGTAAGTGGGCAAAGTTACAAAAATCTGCAACGACAATTTCATGGACCAGATGGTGGAGATTCCGACCAGAAAAAATGCCATCCTAGATCTAATTGTCACTAATAATGCAGGGTTTATCAAGGATATTGTAATTGGGGAGTCATTGGGTAATAGTGATCACAATGTGATTACTTTTAATATTGAATACAGAAAAGGCAAGTGGGCTGGACGGACTAGAACCTGGGGACGGCATTGGTGTTCCTTAACTACAAAGAATGTAACAAGAAATGCAAACTAATAACACGGGCAACTAAAACTGAGTGCGAAAAGCCTATCGCCACAGATGGTAAAAAGAACCCCAAAAAATTCTACCAATATATATTAACAGTAAAAAGGTGAGAAAGGAGCAGATAGGCCCAATAAAGGAAGAAAGTGGGAAGGTAGTCACAAATGACAAGGAGAGGGCCGAGGCGCTGAACACTTTTTTCTCCTAAGTATACACTCAGGAGGGAAACGGGTTTGACACACATGATAAAACTCCCAGTTTATCTGTAAATGGCACCTTTTCAGACTGGGCTAGTGTAATGAGCGGTGTGCCTCAGGGTTCTGTGCTGGGTCCCATATTGTTCAACTTATTTATTAATGACATCGGGGAGGGTGTTAAGAGTGATATTTCCGTGTTTGCGGATGACACCAAAATTGGGAGGGTAATAGACACGGACTTAGACATTATAACATTACAGGAGGACCTGGATAAAATAGGGGAGTGGGCATTAATGTGGCAGATGAGGTTTAATGTCGATAAATGCAAAGTAATGCACTTTGGAAATAAAAATAAACAAATAGGCTATACCAGGGCTCAAAATTTAAAGTACTAAGCTACTAGCCAGACCTTTTAAAAGTTACTCGCCACCAGTTGCCCCACCTAACCCCTACCCTGCCCCGGCCTTAACTCCGCCAGGTCAGCGGTATGACGCAGAATACAAAGATCAGTAACAACGCAGAGTACAGAATTCAGTGGTGCAATGCAGAATACAGAGGCCAGCTGTGTGACGCACAGTGCATCGGTCAGCAATGTGACGCGCAGTGAAGAGGTCAGGGTTTGACACTCAGTACACAGTACAGAGGCCAGCGGTCAGTATGTAACGCAGTACAGAGGTCACAAAGAAAGTACAGGGACTTACAGTTGCTTTGACCTCTTCTTCTGGTGATGGTGGGGGGAGCAGCGAGGTTTCCTACACCTCCAGCCGGCTCCAGGTGCTCTCTCTCCCGCGCAGCAGAAGCTGGCCAACTGCAGTTCGGCAGTCTTCCTCTCCCACCAATGGCAACTGAGGTGAGCGGAGGAAACTGTTGTGGCCGCCAAGGAGCCCAGTCGAAGTGGGCA